AGGTTCAAAGGAAGGGGGAGGGAGAATCAGAAGAAGTGGCAGGGACACTCGGAACAAGGCGGGCGAGGCTCAGAACGAAGGGGAGGGAGGTTCGGAGCAATGGTGCAGGGAGGTTTGAAACAAGGGGAATGCGATTGAAGTTCATGAACTTCGTTGGTATTCCCTCCCTCTTCTTCCGAACCTCCCTCCCCTTTCGTCCGACCCTCCCTCCACCTTTTTTTTAACCTCCCCGCAGGTCTTCGAACCTCCCTCCCCTTTCGTCCGGCCCTCCATCCCCTTTGTTTGGATCCTCCCTCCGTCTTCTTTTTAACCTCCCCGCGAAGTGGATGCTCCTCGTTGATGAGTGGGGCGAAGTCGCGTCCAGGCTCGACAAGGTTGATGAACCTAATCTTGATGTCGGGCGGGGCGGAGGGTCGCAAGACCACTCCGATACCAGTGTAACAAGGCGGAGACAGGGCAGCGAGGCTGGGACAGGGAGGGAGAATGACAGCACACCCACAGGCTCACTCAACTCGACACAGACTCGACGCGACTCGACGGACGCAGACACAAAGTGGCAAAGTCGCAAAGTTGCAGTCTTGGATTCCTGAACACAATGTCGAAGCATAGTCACACTGAACACAAGCAATGAGGCTGAAAACTGGTTGCCCGTACTGGGCTTGAGTCCGGTCTTACGTACCAGACTCAGGTTCAGTCCCTAGGGCAGAAGTGCAAACTCCCTCAGGGCTGAACTGAAAATCGAAGGTCTGAGTCTGGGCGCCAGAATGCCGGATGGCGCCAAGTATTGAAATCCGAAAGTGCCAAAAGAGGAATTTGAGAACGGGCGCCAACTGCAGAGGGCGCCAACAGTCAGGGGTTTGAGAGCAGAGACCCAAAAATGAAATAGCAGCCTGGCGGGTGATAACCCCCAGACCAGGGATCGAGCCCTGGCTGAGACCGTAACATGCTCAAATTTGTTGCTCCAGCTGCTGATCGGCGATCTGAAGCTGCTGATTTGTTAGTTGTTGCAGTCTTGAGAGTGCCCGCTTCAACCTCCAATGTGTTGACGCGATCCGGAATGTTGGAGGGGCCAACGACTGTTGCTGCAACAGGCCGCTGTTCCAACGTGTGTACGCGGGCGGTCAATGTCTGCACATTCTAGAGGATGTCCTCTTAATGGACCATGCAGGTGGCCACCAGGTCCACAATCGGCTTGATGACCGCGGAGAATTTTCGCACGGTCTCGGAGGCACCCTCCTCCTTGGCTGACTTGTCCCAGTCGGTGGCCAAGGTGAGGACTTTGGCCTCCTCCTCGAATAATACATCCCGGCGCATTTGTCTTGCTTCATCTGCAGCCTGGCATGCTGCGTCCTCGTGCACTTGCGGTCATAATTCAGCAAGGCGACATTTCTCCGGAGCTTCCCTCTCTCTCTTCCCTTGAGCAGCACGTGCCGCATCTGCTCTTTGCTTGATCTCGAGCATCATGTCATCCAGCCGGGCCTCGTAGTTTGCTTCGGTGCCATTGTCCTTGCGTTCCATCGCGTTGGTCACCGACTGAAGGACTCGAGGCATGTGTGGCCGGTGCTGATGTGGCACAGGCCTGCTGACGTGGCACAGACATCTGCAGGTGTGTCGCTGACATGGTAGGGATGTCTGCGGGTGTGTCGCTGACATGGCCTGCTGATGTGGCCTGCTGACGTGGCACCGTGCTGAAATGGCAACTCACCAATGCCCACAGCAGAAAGAGGTGGAAAAGGAAGAAGAAAGGAAGATGAGAGGAATGGACAACAACGTAGATGGGGTGGGTGGGAGGGAGGAACGACACACCATTACTTTGAAACATACTTGCAACTGCACAAGCCGCACATTCGTGCGGGGTTCCGTGCGGGGGTTGCCTGTGCGGAATCGTGCAGGTTTTTTATTTTTATTATTATTATTTTATCTTTTTCTGGGAGGGGGAACGGGGGGGCGTATGACAGGAAGATGGGGATATGGCGAGGAGAGGGGGATATGGAGAGGAGGAGGAGGATGTGGACGAGGAGGACGACAAGGATAGCACGGATGACGAGGAGGAGGAGTCGAGATGGAGTCGAGGAGGAGGATGTGGACGAGGAGGACGACAAGGATAACGCGGACGACGAGGAGGAGGAGTCGAGGAGGAGGAGGATGTGGACGAGGAGGCCTAACCCTCCCAAGGACCGGTGCTGACCGGCGGAGCTCGAATTGCGCATGACACGGTGGGCTTGAACGGCGGAGACGTGGGCTGACACAACAGGCAGTCTTAAGTGTTGAGGGCCTTGTTGACCCAAACCCCTACCGGACCTAGTAAGGCTAAAGGCCGTGTTTGACGACTCGACTGTCCCGGAGGTCAAACCCTCCCAAGGACCGGTACTGACCGGCGGGCTGCTCGGTGTGGCATGGTAGCCCCGAAAGGCTGAGTTGTGGGCTGATGCAACAGGCCAGCCCAAACCTGATCACGTCGTCCTGTCTGCGACGTTAAAGAATTCTTGCGGAGTTTGGGGATCTCCTTAAATGCCTCCTGATCAGCAACAGGTCTAGTAGTGACAGCCATAGCATAGGTCTAGGCTAGAGACCATAGTTGACATGATCCCTGTCAGGATTCTGTAAGTCCTTAGATTGAGTCTTTAGGTTTGTCAGTCAGGGGTCAGAGTCTACGTGGTGAGGGTGGGAACCACTTACCCGGTTGTGCACTTATCACCATGGTTGAGACCCGTAGTGGGTTAGATACTAGCCCCTATAGCAAGGAGCAGCAAGAGAAGATGGCCGCCCTAGTTAAGGAGAATAGGGAGAGAAAAGAGCGCGAGAAGCAAGCGAAGCTAAAAGCTATCGCAGACGAACAGGCGGCGAATATGAAAGAATTGGAGGAGATGGAGAAGAGGAAGAAGGCTGCTGAAGAAGAAGCGGCAGCATAAGAAGAAAAAGAAAGAATGCGTATTGAGAGTAGAGAGGGGAGCAGTAGCACGAAGAAAGATATAGACGCAGAGATGGAGAGAAAAATAAGTGAGTGGGTTGCTAATTTATCGTTGGGAGAAGAGGAAGAGGCGGAGTCCTATGTGTCTGAGGATGAGAGGGCTGCGCTAGCCAGTGAGCTAGCAGCAATGACAGACCCCATGGAACGACGAGAAAGGGAGGGGGAGCAGAAGTTAGCTTGGAAGCTGAAGATGAAGAGGGAGAAGAAGAGGAGGAGACAGGAAGTGAACAGAATGACCGCAGACATAGCAAAGGTGCAAGAGTGCAGGCAGGAAGTGTTGGCCCAACCTGATGACAAGGCCAAGTGGGACAAAGTGTTGGGTTACTTGGAAGTGTTGAGCAAGGCCTGGATGGAGGAGCGCCAGGCTAGTTGGAGCCAAGATGTAGCATTGAGTGCCATGCGGTCAGGGTTTAGGGAGTTTGGGCGTGACATCGTCACCCACATTGGGGGCGAAGTAAAGCATTTGAGGGATAATGTAGGGAAGTTCTGTGAAGGCACCATTGAGGGTGCCAAAGCTATAGCCGTTGTAGAGGGAGAGGCCAGACAACGTAAGGACCCAGTGAAACTTAAGTTCCCGGATGCGTACGGGGGAAAGAAGGAAGAAAACTTTGACAACTGGGAAGCCAGTGTCAACAGTTATATTTATTTACAGCACATCCTGATCGACGAGCAAGTCCTCGTGGCCTTCCAGGCCCTCAAGGATGAAGCGGCTAGTTCTGCCAGGTCTCTTGCGCGCGCAGCCGGATGTGAAAACAACCTGGTTGCCTATTCAAAGGTCACCCCTCTTTCCCAATTCCTCAAGCTCCTGAAGGAGCGATTTGTTGACCCAACGAGAGGCATTAGAGCCTCTGACAAGCTGCAAACGATCCACTCACAACAGTGGAGGAGTGGCAGGGCATTCAAGGGTACCATGGACGACTTGGTAGCCATCCCGGACCATGGGGTCACTGAGACCCAGTGGGTCCAGTTATTTTATCGTGCCATGCCAGAGGCCCTGCGTGGGCACTTCTTTGACAAGACTGAACAGGCCGGCATCACTTATGATGCGCTGAGTAAAAAAGTCGTCCTATATGAGTCGAAGTCTACGCCAGTTACCACCTTCTCGCACAAAAACTTAGATAAGGGAAAAAGGTGGAAGGGTCGTACCATCTCAGGCCAAGTAAGGGCCAAGGATCACATGATCCTTACGTTAGAGGAAGGTGGTATTGACGAGGTCCCGTACAATCAGATTGAATGGGGCCTAGAGGAGGAAGATAGTAGCGTGGGACAGGGGAGGTCCTATGCTGCTGTTGCGGCTGGAGGGAAGCTGCAAGGTAGAGGAGAAGGCCAGGGCCAAAGGGGCCAGGCCATGGGAGGCCGTGGACCGGGTGCACAGGGGGTTGGCAGCCAAGGAAACCGCCAAGCGGCAGGTAGGGGTCAAGGTCCCCCGTCAAATCGCCAGGGTAATCGGTCCCCACATCGAAGAGGTGGAAGGGCACCTCAAGGAGGATGGCACCCAGGCTTGCCACAGGGCAGGCCCTGGGAAGACTTGGGCTTGGACCAACATTTATGGCAGGAACGCGTGAACATGGGTCAGTGCGTGTTTTGTGGTGACCCAACTCACGTAATAAAATTTTGTCCAAAGTATAGGCAGGCCCGTTGGGCTGCTCAGTCGTCAAAAGGCAGCCGCCAGTAGGGGTCGCAACTGCCCCTACTTCAAGGCTATGTGGAGAAGTGAGCACGCGCGAACAGGACACTCCCAACCCACATGAGCCTATGGCAGAGGTTGCAGGCCCGTGCCTAGATAGCTGTCCGGAGACTGCTTGTGTTAGCGTCCCTTTAGGCACGTCCCTCACAAGCGTGGCAGAAGAGTTAAAGGAGAGGATGCCAGCCTGGGCCAAGATGAAGAAAGAGAGCAAAGGACAACTGATCTTGGTAGATGTAGAGGTGTTCAGGAGTAGAATAGGGGCCCTTATAGACTCAGGGGCCACCCGTAGTTATATCAGTCGTAGGGAGATGAAGAAGCTGAGGCTAGGACTAAAGGTCCAGAAGTTAATAGACCCTATAGTCAGTGTTCTCGCAGACAACCGCACGATGCGAGTTGAGGACTACGTAGAGGGAGTCCAGGCATACTTTCGCCTAGAGCAGAATGGAAARGTGGAGAAGGTCCTCCATTCTTTGACTCTCCTCGTGCAGGATGACCTTCCTTTTGATGTAGTTTTAGGAATGGATTGGGGAGAGGCAGCAGGGGCCACACTCCAGWTGAGAGAGCATGAGTGTAGGCTCCCTAGTCCGTCAGGCGAGGCTAAGACTGCCCGCTTGTTCCATGTGTCTGGTGTAGACAATRCCTTGGCACATTGYTGTCTCAGTGCTCCCRCGTTCGCRCGATTAGTMAAAAAGRAGCAGTTAGAGGAACAGGTCTTTGTAGTTTATGTTAGACCTGTCACTGAGGCCCAGGAAAAGGATAGTTCCACAGATCCAACGATTGCCAAGCTGCTGGAAGAGTTCAAAGATTTGACTGAGTCACCGACAGGAGTAGTGTCGCGACCCATCCAGCACAGGATAGAGATAGAGCCTGGCAGTAGAACTCCTAAGGGTGCAGTTTACAGGATGTCCCCTAGAGAGTTAAAGGAGATTTGCAAGCAGTTAGACGAACTCCTTGAGAAAGGTTGGATCAGGCCCAGTTCGTCTCCTTTTGGAGCACCTGTCCTGTTTGTCCCCAAAAAGGAAGGAGAGTTGAGAATGTGTATAGACTATAGGGGTTTGAATGCTATCACAGTGAAGAATGTTGAGCCGCTGCCCAGGATAGACGATCTTTTAGATCGGGTGCAGGGTTGCAAGTATTTCTCTAAGATAGACTTAAAATCCGGGTATCATCAGATAGAGGTCCATCCTGATGACCAGTACAAGACTGCGTTCCGGACTAGATATGGGCACTATGAGTTTACAGTGATGCCCTTTGGACTAACCAACGCGCCCGCTACTTTTCAACGTTGTATGAACGACCTGTTTAGGCCATGGTTAGACAAGTTTGTGGTAGTCTATTTAGATGATATCTTAGTTTTTAGTAAGACCCTCCAGGAGCACCTGGGTCATCTGAGGTAGGTCTTGGAGAAGCTACGAGAGGCTAACTTCAAGATCAACGCGAAGAAGTGCGAGTGGGCCAAGACACAGCTCTTGTACTTGGGCCACGTATTAGATGGAGACGGCATTAAGCCAGAGGACAGCAAGATCGCCGCGATTAGAGATTGGCCGACGCCCCGCACATTGACAGAGTTGTGGTCGTTCTTAGGCCTAGCCAACTACTATAGAAAGTTTGTGAGGAATTTCTCCACTATCGCCGCTCCCCTGCGCAAATTGCTTAAGAAAGAGGCAATCTGGCAATGGGACAAGGATTGTACGTCTGCGCTCAAGAGGTTAAAGTCGTTAATAGAGTATCCTGTCCTCAAAGTAGCTGATCCGTCCTTGCCATTTGTCGTCACCACGGACGCGAGTTAGTACACCGTGTTGCAACAGGATGACGACCATGGCTATAGACCCGTAGAGTTCATGTCCGCGAGGATGCCCTCAGAGAAGGTAGCCACCTCGACATACTAGAGAGAACTCTACGCTCTCAGGCAGGCTCTAGACCATTGGAAGCATTACCTGCTTGGGAGGCACTTCAAAGTGTATTCTGACCACGAGACCCTTATATGGTTAAAGACCCAGGCCAAGATGATACCGAAGTTGACTAGGTGGGCCGCAGAGATAGACCAATATGACTTTGAGCTTAAGCCAGTGAAGGGCAAGTATAACGTAGTTGTGGACGCTCTGAGTAGGAGATCAGACTACTTTGGAGCCATAGTACATTATCTGGATATAGGGAGAGACCTGCAGGAGAAAGTAAAGCAAGCGTATGCGCATGACCCTATTTATAGCGACCTCCTAAAGAGGGTTAGAGAGGCCCCAGAGACCGAACCACATTACCGCACTACAGATGGGTTGCTGTTTGAGAAGACTACCGTGTTTGACCACCTGTGCGTTCCCAACAGCGAAGAGATTCGCAGTCTGATTTTAGGGGAATGTCACGATACTGAGGGACATTTCGGTTGGCAAAAGACGTTAGCCAATCTGATGCGTGCGTACACCTGGCCAGAGATGAAGAATGGCTGCATAGAGTATGTCCGCAATTGTAAAGTGTGCCAGAGGAACAAGTCTACTACACGCGCACCCCTAGGTCTTCTCAGACCCTTGCCTATTCCAGATCAGCCGGGAGACTCAGTGTCCATAGACTTCATGGACACCCAAGTCAAGAGCAGACATGGTAAGAGCCAAGTCATGGTCATAGTTGACCGTTTTAGTAAGTATGCTGTGTTTGTTCCCTTGCCTGCAGAGGCACGAACAATTTTTGTGATACAGAAGTTCTTTGACTTTTGGGTTAGTAAGAATGGAATCCCATTGTCAATGGTTAGTGATAGAGATAGTCGTTTCACCAGCCAGAATTGGCAAGAACTCATGAGAGTCTATGGATCTAAGTTGTTAATGTTGTCCGGTCGTCACCCAGAGACTAACGGTCAGACAAAACAGATGAACAACATCCTACAGCAAGTTCTGTGCATGTACATTAGACCAGATCAGATCAACTGGGACGAGATGTTACCCAAGGTAGCTAGCGCATATAACAGCAGCGTGCATTTGTCCACCTGCCGCACTCCCAACGAGCTGCACAAGTCCTTTAGGCCGCGCAGACCATTCGAAGGACTGAACCGGGATCAAATACACAGGCTACCGCCCGGTACCAGGGAGTTTGTGGTACATCACGAGAAAGAACTAGCAACTGTTGTTGAGAACCTCAGGAAGGCCCAGCATAGAATGATAGACCAAGCTAATAAGCACCGCCGCCCGTCGCAGTTTCAGGTAGGCGACTTAGTCTGGGTCGAGGCTAAAGAGTTTGCACCTGAGGAAAACATCTTGCAGAAGTTACTGCCTGCATATAGAGGACCGTGGGCAGTTTTAGAAGTCAAGGGCGGAGAGGATGGACCGTCCTACACTATAGAGATTCCATTACACCTCCATACATATCCTGTCTTTCACGCTTCAAAATTGTTGTCGTGTTCCCTTCAAGACGATCTATGATCCCTCCGGATATGGACGGAAGTTATGACATTGAAGGTATTGTAGAAGAGGATGTGTTTAGAACAGGAGGTAGAGGTCGTCCCCAGAAACAGTATAAGGTCCGGTTTGCATATCAGGGGCCAGAAGACGACCGCTGGTTCACCAGAACAGAACTTCTGGAAACAGCTCCCGATATAGTCTGAGCTTATGAGCGTGACAAGAAGGGTAAAGGTCCTGCCTTGGACTGAAACATTCTCGGAGGACCTCGAATTTAGGACGGCGGGAGTGAAACGGTTTTCACCTTTAGCAGTAGCAGATGCAGTACCCAGGGCTCGATCCCTAGACTTTACCCTACCCGTGTACAGTATCTGTGTAGACCACGGGAGTTGAACCTGGACCTGTGTATTCGTAGACAATTGGTAGGTCTGTCGTAGGTCCGTAGGTAGCAGGGGTTCGATCTGTAGACCTATAGCGTAGAAGTCTTCGCGAGTTCCAGAAGCTTAGTTGTAGTCCTTCAAGAAGGTAGGCAAGTGGGCAAGTGGTCAAGTGGCGAGGCAAGTGGTGGACTAAACTGCAGTGCAATAGCAGTAGGACGTCGGTAGGATGGCAGTGAGTCCACAGTCAGTCAGCGGTAAGGTCCAATCAGTCCCAGTCCGGTCCAGCAAGTACCACGGGGGACTGTGAGCACCATGGGACGATGGCAAAGGGCAGACCAAGGAGTTTCTGAAGTATAACTTAAGAGACAGTGCCCAGCCATTCATTGATTCCTGCGTGAGCCATGCGGAAGTGCTGCCACAACGACTTGTGCAAGGAGGTCTGCAGTGAGCCCGGAGGACGCAGTGGGCGAGAGAGGAGGAGTTAGCATAGCGATAGGGTATAGGCAGCCATAGCTGCCATAGCTGTAATTAGTAGGAAGTGTGTGTGTGTGTGTTCGAGTGTTCAGAGTGACGCGTGTGGGATATCCAGGGTGATCCGGAGTGTGTGAACATTGAGTTGTTTGGGCGCTGAGTCGCCATAGCCAATTGAAAGTGAACTCGTACCTGGAAGCCATATCTCTGAGTTTTGAGTGGGCGCATGACGCCAGTTTGCTGCGTTGCTGTTTACATGCATGAAAAGTGTGAATGCGTACGAGTCTGATTGCAAGTGTTTGAGTTGGTGAATGTTATTCACAGCGGTTTCACTTGTCTGAAGGGTTGGCCACATGACATTTTCCGTCATTATACCATTTTGTTCATATCTGACTTTTGGACTGCGTTTATGAAGCAGAATGCTTCTGGCCAAAACAAGCTACTCTGAGAAATCCCACATGATATGGTCGGATGGATCAGGCACATCAGATTCAAACAGGAGAGAAAGGGAGTAGCACAGAGAACAGATGTGGCATTTGTGTGGACTGAATCAGTTTACCACACACCTTCACAGTCTGGCCCAAAGTGTGTACCTCAGCATTGTTTATGACAACACTATGTTTTCTACCCACGGACATAGAACCAATCTGGTGCACTCCTTTGTATGCTGCCCCCCTCCCTCATCCTCTCTTCGAGCTTCCAACTGACTCCCAACTTACTCCCAATGAAAGCTTAACCACCATAGCCTTACAACTTCCTGATTGAGAGGACATGCACAACGTGTTGCAACAAGTCTCAAGATAATATGTTCAACAGTGAGATTTGGACTTAGCTGCAGTGTACAACCATATGGCGTTATCAGGTTCATGGCGGTGTGTGATCTTTGACTCCCTCTCTATTGTCTGATTAACTACTGTGTAATGAACCCAGTCTGGCAGATACTCATCAGTCGTCAAACACCAGTAGTTTCAGTATCTGCAACAAAGTCTCCAAATAGTGAAGTATCTCATTACCATTAGACGAAGAGAGTGGAGGGGGAACAGACAGAGGAGAAGGTGGAAGAGATGATCAAAGATCACACAAGAGTAATCCCTTCAAAACCCCGCTCCTTCTCTGGGCTTCTTCCCTCTCCACATCAACAACCAGTATATGATAACAAGTATAATAATCCTGATCACACAATAGTGCCACGTGGCACTCTTATCTCGTGAAGACCTTGAAGACGCAGCAGATGACAGTGACGACGTCAACCTCAGGTGAGTACCCGATCCCGATCATCCACAGTTCCCGATCTTCCTCCTCCTTGCAACCAGTCACCTCATGTAGACAGCGTGGACATGCCACGTCAGCAGTCAAGACAGGTGGCATGCGCCACATCATCAATGAAGACCAGTGGCACAACACATCAGCATGTGACGTAGACCAGAGGTAGCGCCACATCAGCATGCAATGTAGGCCAGAGGTAGCGCCACATCAGCATGCAATGTAGACCAGAGGTAGCACCACATCAGCATGCAATGTAGACCAGAGGTAGCGCCACATCAGCATGCAATGTAGACCAGAGGTAGCGCCACATCAGCATGCCTGGCGCACAATGCAGAGAGTGCCAGCATGCCGGCGTGGTCGCCCACAGTGCCGGCGTCGAGCCAGCGTCTCGACAGCGTCATGCCAGCGTCTGGTTGAAGTCGAGCCAGCGTCCAAGCAGCATAGCAAGACTGAATGCTTGACCAACTCGAGGCCAGCCTTATGTAGCATTTGTCGGGGCTGTCTGGCCTTGGTTGCCTTTCCCACAGTCGTCCAGATTGCCTCACAGCCGAGGGCCTGGATTGTACAGCTGCAGACTTCCCCCTTGGACCTGATGCCGTCTGGGTACCTGCATACAAACAAATGTGTGTGTCCGACCAGTGGCCTGGGCTGGGTACACTTTGACTTTGACTGTTGGAATTTCCGACAGTTGACTTTTGTCAACTGTGCCTCGTCCAGGCCCTGAATCTCTTACTGGGGTCTTTTCCTTTGTTTTGGCCTGGATCTGGGTGTGGCCTGGCGAGGCCCTCAGTTTCCACGAGGCATACCACATGGGTTATTGCAACCGACTCCCTCTCTATAGTCTGATTAACTACTGCATAATAGCAACAGTGCTGTATAATAGCAGGGGCCTACATGCATGTATGGGCATGTTTGTGTTAATCTGCACATGGAAATTGGAGGTCCGTTGAAGTTTATCTTTGATGTAGGCTCACTTGTTCTTCTTGCTGATTGATATGAGCTACTTCCCGCCTTGCAGTCATTCAACAGTTTGAACTCCGAACCCTAATTAGATGGCGTGCATAACTTTGTACGTGAATTCATGGCATTGCACAAAGGGTCTTCCTCGCACAGAACTTTAAACATAACAGGTGCTGTTTGGAGTCTAGAAAATGCTCACTGATTTGCATAACGGTTTGTTCTTGGGTGCATGCGTGCAGGTGGGGGGATAAACAACCCTAAGGGCTTGCCCTTGGGTGTGTGTGTGTGCAGAGGGCGGCCCGCGGGGGGTGGGGGGGGCGCGGTGGGGGGGAAATCCCAACCGGAAATGACAACTAATACCCCAAGAGTTGAGAGCGGGCTAGCCCAGTTGGTTCCCCACATCATCCATTCGATCCCCCGCAGCCCCCTGTGATACGCTTGGGATTCAGCAGCGGAGATAATTGGCTTGGGCCTCCTGGCTGGTTGTGAAAGCAGAGAGGATGCTTTCCAGCTCGTGCCAGGTGTTAGGAGCCGGGGCACTGCTCCCCGCATAGAGCAGAGTTGAGCAGAATAAGAAGGCTGGGATTCATTAGGAAGAGTTGACCCATAACTGCATCCATTTGGAAACTGGACTTGGATAACAGGATAGGTAGTCCGGTGAATGCTCACTGATATAGCATTTTGATCTGACCATGTGGATGGTACCTGGAAAGGAAGATTCACCTCATGTGGCTGAAAGGTACACACATGTAACCGCTCAGAAAGATGATGAACAGAAATCCACCCAGATGAATACATATTATAGGGGCTACACTGGACGGGGAGATTCAGGGACCAACATCAATGCAAATGAACAGGAAGTCATGTGAAACTTCAAAGAACACCGAAAAGCAGGGTGAGAGGACAAGGGCAAGATATGTACCTTGAATTGAGTGGCACTTTGACCTTTTTGGATGCTGGAGTGGCTGCTGGTCCTTGAGGCTGTGCAGCCATCACTGAGCTATCTACCTCCACAGCACCATTACTTATGTTGAGAAACTGTGTGATGCCTTGCCAAAGGCAAAACAAGCTTAGGAATGCACACAAACAGACTTAAAAAAGAAGCAAAGAATCACAAAAGAAATAAATTGTATCCTTAAGACAGCAACAATGTCGGCAAGAGAGGATGCTGAACAACCTTAAAATTAGTTCATCCCACTGTACACTGGATTTCTGAGATGCAATTATTGAATCCTAAGACTTTCCATGAAAGTGACAACACTGACAAGTTGACCTAGCATGGCTGCCCCCACAAGTTGCATGTAATGACATTAAAATTCAAACAAAAAGGATCACAAAAACAAAGGAAAGTTAATAATGACATCAGAGTCATGGTAACCGTCCGGACGTCTGGACCGGGTTCCAGACAGTCCGGTGTCCGGTGTCCGGTGTCCGGTGTCTGGTGTCCGGTGTCTGGTCCTTATGTCCGCATGGAGGCCCCTGGGGCAATAATAATAAAAAAAAAACGGGGCGGCCCAGGACGTTTATCGGGTCCTGGCCGCCCCTCGAAAAACAACGGGGTGGGAGAGAGAGAGAGAGAGAGAGAGAGAGAGAGAGAGAGAGAGAGAGAGAGAGAGAGAGAGAGAGAGAGAGAACTGACTCCGACGTTCTGAATTGAACTGCAAAGTTCAAACTTTTAAGTTATATATGAAGTTATGAACTTAAATTACTAAATCCAAAGTTCAAAGTTCAAAGTTAATGATACTTTTTTCAAAAAAAATATTGTGCCTGCTTTGCACTGTTTGCAACTCTGTATGTCTGCTAGTTAAATGTGCTTGTTGATTTGCTGCAAGAAACGTGCTCTGCTGCCTGAACTACAACTGTCTCTTATACACATCTAGATGTGTATAAGAGACAGGCTTTGCACTGTTTGCAACTCTGTATGTCTGCTAGTTAAATGTGCTTGTTGATTTGCTGCAAGAAACGTGCTCTGCTGCCTGAACTACAAAGTGCAAAGCAGGCAAGTGCCTGCCAACACCCCCACCCACACCCCCCCACCCATTTTTTTTTTTCCCCCGACATTTTAGCAGCCCTGGCACTGGTCCGGACTGTCCGGGTCCGGTGATGTGGGGATGTCTGGTAATGTCTGGATCACCGGACAGTCCGGACCGGTATAGACACAGGTCCGGAAGACAGTCCGGAAGTGTCCACTGTCCGGGTCCGGGGTTACCATGATTAGAGTTTGAGTGAAATTGACATGCCGAATACTAAATTTCCTGTGAAGTTTGAAGTTTGAACACATAACCTACATAGTACATAGTACATGGAAAAGAAAGAAGTGAAGGACGACATTAGAATTTCAGTGCAATTGACATACCTTAGGGAATGGAAAAGAAAGAAGTGAAGGACAACATTAGAATTTCAGTGCAATTGACTTGCAGGATACTGAATTTCCTGTGCAGTTTGAACTTTGGACAAATAGCTCATGTATATGGAGAAACAAATAACACTTCCACCCCCCTGGTAGTGTCAAGGATGCAATATCTCCTCGAAACGTCTACCTCTTCTCTCTTTGATCTGTCTCCCACTCCTGTTTCTCCTCTTGCACGTCCCTGTCATCCCACCTTTCAAGAAAGCAGTCTCAACCCGAGTGCATTGAGCCTCACTGCTCGACACCTTTAGCACACACACACATCGAGAGATTACACGAAATCTACACTGGAGTCCAGAGATGCAAAGTCCACAGCAGCTCACAAATTCCAACAAATTATCACATTAAACAGTTTCGGAGACTCAGTCACCAAGCGCTCAACAGCGCACAATTCAGCAACCCAATACCAACATCCTCATCTAAGGAACGTGACTCTCGTCTCTCCCTGGCTCACTCCCTCTCTGTCTTCTCTCTCAGTCTGTCTGTCCTGGTCTTCTTCATGCATGCGCTCTCTCTCCCTCTCTTTCTACTTGAGAATCTTGACTCTGAATACATCCGCTGCTACTCAGCTCTATCCCTACTACTACCTTATGCGGCTATGGCCGCCTTCCCTCTCAGTGCAGTGCTGCCCAGCAGGGCTCTCGCGCGCATGCTACTCACGGATGGTGCACAAGCGCTTCAGCAGCACTTCCACACTTCTCACGAATGAGCTATCTCCCCGAAATGTGGCTGGCCAGTCCTTATATTGACTTGGACCGAGCCTCAACTCGTCCCAGCCTCTGCTTCCTTTGGCTTGACTTGGACCCGGTACCACATGCCCACGGCCTGCTTGCTTCAGAATGTCAAGGCCTGGTACTTTTCCCGAATTTTCATTGGTGTGCTGCTGCTTGAGTCTGTGAGTCACGACTTTTCATCTGTGGAACATGACTTTTGACTGTGGGTTGTGACTCTTGCCTCTGGGACACGACTTTTGCCTGGAGAAGTGTCCTTTGCCTGTGGGACATGACTTTTCAATATGAGACGTGACTTTTGCTTATAGAACGCAACCTTTGCCTCTGGGATGTGACTGTTCACCGAGTGCCTGCTGGGCTTGACTCCTAAGGTACCCGACTGTGACCTTTCTGATTGGCCGACTTGGCCTCCCTTGGCTTGAGACCTAGACCCTGAAACTCGAATTTGGGGTCTGCGCTGTGGAATGCCTTTCACGAGGTACAAAGAACATCTGACTGTGACCCCTGTCCTTCCTTCCCAAACAATTTTAGAAAGTGCCCATCCCCACAGACTCTTTTCCGACTTCATAATTGGATCCCAATGAGTACCTCAAATTTGCTCACTGGAAATGGGTGACGCCAATGACAAGTTCACTCATAGCTCTCGCTCAACCCTCACATTCGCCAACCTACGAGAGCATACACAATCAGTATCCCGAGGCTCGTTCCCCGAAAATAACATGTGACGTCAGCATCCCTGACTCTCACCAATGATTTCACCAGTAGTCTCGAGACACGCCCTCTAATGTGAGCTAATCCTACAACAGTTTCTCTAGAGAGTGATAATCAGCCAATCAAGACAAGCGCTGATTTCCGTAGCTTGTGCAAGTTACTAGTGCACCGTAGTGACTAGGCTAGTGGCGAGACGAAGACTCCAGGCCAGAGATAATCCCATTCATTGCTCTCTTTCCGCCCTGCAGCTACCTCACGAACTCAGTCTCAACAACGAGACGGAAGGAGGTGACGTCAACCGAGTCAGCACCTGCAGGACGTCCTTCCTCAACCCGCTCTGACCTCTTATTGCCACTCGTATGGTAAGCGCGCATCCCTCCAAGACAGCTATGATTGACCATCAACAGGCAAGGTCGATCACACCAAAACCTTTGGCGGCGGCACAGTACCTTTGATTTCAAACTGGCTCACCAGCGGCTGACAATGGTGCCTGACGTCGACCGCTAAAGGCGTGCGCACCTTAGAGTTTGTCTCTCTCCCGAACATTACCAGCTATGCCTCGTATACAGTTTGCGCATTCGTCACTGGTTTCCACTCTGATCCAGGAGAGTCGTTCTTCAGACACAGCTCACATCCTTGCAGGTGCCTTCTGCACGAGCTTCACTATAGGGCCGACTTCCTCCCCATGCGCGTTGCCAGTGCACGTGTAACGGAGTATACCTTGGTAGAGGTCGAACTGGCAGACACATGCTATGTGAACTGGGAGGGCGTCGATGAAGTCAACCGCGAGTCCTTCGCGTAGCTCTCCCTCTCATTCCTCAGTATCCCGCTTCTTTCACTGTCCTGCACTGGCTGGTCCTGCCTTAAGGTCGGAAAGTTCACCCACGGAGAAACCCATGCATACTTGTGAGAGAATGACGACGTCTCCCCCACTGGCAGCGTCCATCCTCACTCCTACCTCTCCCGCGTCTGTGCTGCTCTCTCTCTGTCCGTTGTCCCCTCTTTCTCTGCATCTTCGTAACTGCCCGTTTCTCTCACAATACCTCTCTCACCCACTCTCCGACTAACCGAAATGGGATTAGGATCATCGCCGGCACGCGAGGTTCTCCGCTAGCGCGGGAGCTAACACGGTGCCCCGTTGATCACGTACTAGCTGACCTGAGCGCGTGCACGGCGCCTCTCACTCAGAAGAGAGAACGTTGTGTCAGCTGACAATGGCACAAAATCGCCCTCGATGCACTGCACAAGTGATAGGTAGGTGACAACTATCTCGCGTGACCAGGGTCTTGCATTAGTGGTTGATGTCAACCATAACTACATCGTACACCGCCACGCATTCTCACACTCACCCCGTCAGTGGGGCACTGTCCGCCTGATCACCCATGAACCACCCCGACATGCGTTGACCTCTGAGCCTCTCCCCTCTCTCACTCTTGAGCGTGATTGTCGCGCGCGTCACTGTCACTACCCCTTGGCCTCAATCTCGTCGTCCTCGTGAGTTGGCTTCAGGACCACTTTCCACAGGCTCGACAGGCGGGTGGTCTCGTCGCCACTGTTCTAGACCGTGCCAAGACAGGGTCTCTGCTGCGCTCATTTCGCTCTCCCCCCCTGAGTCCCTGTCTAGGTGAGTCTGTTCTCGTTTTGCCGTATCAGTGGAGGTCTCCACCTCATGGTAAGCAATCGTTACCTAACTTCCACTGTGACCCCATCCCTTCTGCAACGCCTCTTAAACCAGTCTTTGGCCTCAGCAACTGCCGCTTGCAGCTTAGGGACCGTTCTCATCTCTTCCTCTCTCGCTCCTTCCACATTGATCTTCAACTTGGCCTCTGCTCCCCCGTCGTAGTTGAAAATGGTGGTGATCCAGGGCCCCTTCCCGGACATCGGCCTCCAGAGCGCTAGGGGGTTCCAGCAGTCCCTCCTTTCAAAGGAGGTCATCGGACTACCCCTGATGGGTACCCGTGTCCGATGGTAAGGAGGGGGCTTATGACCCTTCACAGGGTGACAAGCCTCCTACCAAGGCGGCCGCGGGTGCCCCCCCTTTTGGGGTCTTATGACGCAGTGTCTAGCAAGCTGCACCCGCAGTAAATGGAACGCGAAAGATCTGACCAGTCTGAGTCGTCCGTTCGTAATCAGGGTTAAAGGACTAACCATCCATCCTCTCGAAGGGACAGAAGGAGAGGGAAGTCTCGAAGACCGCCTAACAATAGTAGCAATAATAGTAATAATAATAATAAAAGTAAAAGAAAAAGCAGCTTGAGACCACTAGATCGCTCCAGACAAAAACGATGATCTGAATCGGGGCGCAGGTCTAACGCGTGACCTTTTCTCATTTTTTTCTTTCTTTTATTTTCCTTTCCTTGCCCCCACTCATCTTGATAGTGACCGTAGTTCACTGCATACGTCCCATAACCTGATATAGGGTACTCGGCACGCAGTAGAAAGAACCATGCAGGTCCTTCTACCTCCGCGTCCCTGGGCGAGCCCGGCGGCTACCACGGCCACAGGCCAGTTGTGCTCTGCTGTACAGCAGGGCACCAAGCCTGCGTGGACCAATGGAAAGTCCAGTGGCGCACCCACCCTTTTGCCGGTGGTAGTGTCAACTGGACCAGTCCCACAACGGAGGTACGTGAAGTAGACACTTGGTACGCAGCGGTGGTACATGAAGTAGACACTTGGTATGCAGCGGAGGT